TTAAATACACATGAGATTTCATACAAACAAATCCATAAATAATAATCTATTCATAAAATCAAGTTTATCAATAGAATAACTAATTATTCAACTTTACTACTGCTACATAGCTTACCATTCATAGAAATTATACATGAGCTAATTCATTCTCTAGTATTGATTTAGTTCTTTTCAATGAACAATGAAATTCTGATCTTCTTCTTGATTGTTCTTTAATGAAATCACTTTAAACTTAATACATCTTTATAATTATACATGTATTGATCCAATTGACCATAATTTAATTATCTGTTTACACTACATAATAAATTAAAAGAACATATGTTCATTGGACAATAAATGTCTTATTCCAGAAATTTTTTATAATGTCAACCATTTATATGCTCATATTCTGTAGCATCTCCTGCATGATCTAACAATGTAACGGCGCATCTTATGACAATAAATGACGAGCATACGGTGTAATTACAGTCCATTACGACGCTGTATTGCTTCATAACAACAAAAGCATTAATACGAACGTATATAGTAGTACCATATACAGCAACGTACAAGGTCATTAACAATATTCACGGCAGCTGTATACGAACAGTATCTTTTATCGTCTGTGGCAGCAGTAAATACACTTTTACTACAGTTGCTTCTTCTTTTGGTTCACTTCTGATATTTATTGTAACCTACCATTAATGTATAATCAGTATGTACTATCATTTTATTTTCATTTGTGTGTGATTTTCATTCAAAAATTTTCAAGAAAAAACCGTATAAGAAAATTTCAAAAGATATAAATATAAAACGATGGTTTTTTTTGTTGATATGTCCAGCTATGTACAATGAATGGAAAAGAAGAAACTTCAAATTCGTTAGTCTCTTCAAACGTTATTTCTCTGTCTGAATCTCTTAATTTGTTTTAAACAGATGATGAGAAACTTTGGAAATTTTAAGTTAATGACGATTTTGTAGACGTCCTCAAATTATGTTATAAAGTGGATGAAAGTCTTATTCTAAGTAATTTTCACATTTTTTTAACAGTTTTACGAAAAGGTGTCACAATCGATTCATTTACTATTAGTCTTAGTTTTGATTCTTTTTCGTACAAATGTTGAGTTTCTTTCATAGACTGTCCATAGAAACAAAGCCAAAAAAAATTGTTCCATGTTCACAGTGTGTCTTTATGTGGTTTAATAGCATTTGATAAATACCATTCGAATACGTAACGTTCACGGTGACCATTATGCTGTCATTTACAGTGCTCTATAAACAGTCACCGTAAATGTTAGCGTTTTTCACTGTTCTTAGATCATATACAATCATTCGTAAACAACAACCCATTACAAACATCACATTTCAACATCTTTATATCGTTTACTAGCACTTTTATCCAATTTGATGTTCGAAGTTGTTTATTTCATTATGAACAATATTTATTTTGCGAGTTTGTTACTCTTAATTTGAAGTTAGCATACAAAAATGATGAGAGCTTTCGTGATTGATTGATTCAGATCTATTGCAACATTATTGTTATTACCGTTAAATTATATGTGATACATATGGACCATTCAGTGAATTTCCACCACATATGTACAATTATTATCGTCCTATGACAGTAGGTACAATTAATTATTTGCACGGTTGACATTCTCAAATGAAAAAACATGTAAAGTCTCTACATCCCAACATACAGATTATGATTGATTTATTGCAAATACGATAATCGTTAACATAGACTGCAAGAATACTAGATAACATGGGGATTCCAGTTCCAAAACAATGCAAAAAATTATCATAGCAGAAGAATGTTTGATAAAACTGTAGTAACTTTATGATAAAGATCATATTGATACACTATAGAGTTGTTGAAACTTATTGGAATAAGATGTTTTCCAGGTCCATCTCAAAGTTAAACAGTAATATGTTTCTTTGTTTTAACTGAAAGTACATCCTCACACGAGACGAGAATAAATGCTTAATTGAAATAAACTTTTGGTGTAGTCAACGGATAGTAAATCTTGTAAATTCCTGTAACACGATGCAATGATGTCTTGTATATTACGTATAATTGCCCTTCTTTTGTATTCTATAATAGTTTATTACAACTGCTTTGCAATACAGAAAAAGAAAGTGTTGAAATGACTCCCGCTTATATTAATTAAATAGCTCTACAAATGTATTAATTATTGCTCTTATATTTAAAAACAGTATATTGTTCATTAACTAATCTTTAATATTGATTTATCAATTAAACTGAAATATAGACTTGAGTTTTATATGTTTCTATCTATTAAAAATACTATAAATGATATGATTTTTGAATATAATCATTACTCGTTAACGACCTCTGTATCATTTGACAATGAAAGAGGTTTATTGCATGACTACGTTACTTCTGATGGTAACAAAAAAAAAACCCGGTTGTTAAAATCAAAACATTACAACATAAAAATTCATATTCTTGCCAACTTTCCACCGATAAAATTATCATACATATTCATATTAATCAAAAATGAATACTACAAACATTGATTCGTCTTCTTCTCTTGAAAATAATAATAATAATAATAATCAACAACAACAACAACAATATACACCTACGACAAAGTATACTGAAGTTAGTCAAAATGGTGAAGTTCTTTATCAATCAGATTCTATACCTGTCGAAGTAGCAGCAACTTATTTACAACCAAGAGATACAGTTGCACAAAGAAATGCTGCAATGACTGGTGAAAAAACTAGTGATCAATATAGAACATTTGGTATTCCAGAAAAATTTGATAATCCAGGTACATATATCTATATTTATGATTTAATCATTTTTCACATTGTCTAGAGACTATGTTTCATATAGATTGGTGGCAAGGTTATAGCAAGAAAGAACCAAATCCATTGTATCGTACAACAGCACAAGATTATGGTGCTGAAAAACCTAATATTCATACAATGCCAACTGTTTATCGAACACAATCAAGTGCCTTTACAGGGGTATCCATAATAATTATAAATGTTTTTGATTTTAAACAATCTTATCATTTATATTTTAGCATCTTGGTAAATGTGGTATCTATCGTTATCAAGGTCTTAATACGGCTGTAGACAAAGGACGATATATAGACAAATATTAATTTTTTTTTTTTTTATTGCTTGAAGGCGAGTGTAAAAATTTTATTTTACCAAGAACTAATCAATTATAAGAACAATAGAGAATTGCTGATCAATATCTGTAAATCAAAAAGAAATGATGAAAGACATATTGTACACTAGACAAATTTGAATGATTAAAATTATAGTATTAAAAATCTTTCATGGCATTCGTTTTATCTTCTTCTGTTTAAATTAATGATTTATTTTAGACAATTGTTGATAATGAATAATGTATGAATAATTTGTGTGTGTGTGATTATAAGAAAAAAAGACGAAAAACCGAACACATACAATAATATTCATACAAATAAAATCAACAAGAATAAGATATTGATTTTATATCATCAATTGAGTAATAAAAGAATGAACAAAAAGAAAAACGAAAAGCTAGAAAGAAGATACAGAAGAAGTAAGGAAAAAAAAAGTGTTTAATAAT